GGGAACATCAGCATGTCAAATTTCACTTAGATTACCTAGAACAGAGCTCGGTTGAGATGAATCCTTCTTCAGTAAATGGCTTTTGTGCGTCCGAGATCAATTCAAAAATACAAAAAGCCGCACCAAGCGCGAGATATACTTCACGCTCAAATTCTGAAAGCAAGATTTCACGGGTTGAACCACCTATCCCTCATCTACGTGTTTAGATATTCTCCGATATGAGCAAGTTATCATATTAAATACCAAAAGCTAGGTAACTGTTAACGCCGTTAGTGCTGCCAAAACTTATTGAGAAGAGACCCCTTTCGCTGCAGCTATCAAAAGATCAACAATTAGGTGTTTGAAGGGATCAGTAATTTCCAACCTCCTGCTCTATATTAATCTAGTGATAAATGTAAGTCATTTAGCTAAATAGTCATTCTTTAAGTTAGATAAAGGTATTTCGCAGCAAAACACATTTATAGTCCACTCCGCCGTTGGTCAAACTTAAAATCCCTTGATATAGGAATGTCTGCATGTAGGTCTCATGGCTGTCTGAAGCAAACAATCTTTTTATATATGATAGAGGTCACGAACAGGCAACCACCTACCAGGCCGAAGTCAGCCAAGCTATGATAGGAGAGGGGAGACGACAGAGTCCGGGGGGTCAATTGATACGGCACTGTTTTGGGCTCATTTACCTTCATTCAGCCAATCATAAACCTGACCACCAGCTGGGACCGGAATCACAAACATGCGCACAGACATACCTGACGCAGCTGGTCCACCACTGGGATCTACTAGATAGGGCATAAGTCCTTCCTCCAATCGAAGTTCATCAGTCCCTCGCCACCAGTCATTCTGTGTCGCTGCTGATCGGGTATTTATTCACTCAGGAATGGGTGCACACCGATCCATTAGCTTCCCGAAGCCAGCTGGTGGTCAGGATTATGATTGGCTGAATGAAAGCAAACAAGCCTGAAACAGTGCTGCATCAAACAACCCCCCTGACTCTGTCGTCCCTCTCTGCTATCATAGCTTGGCCGTCTTCGGCCTGGTAGGTCGTTGCCTGTTCGTGACCCCTATCGCCCATACGAAGCTTTTTGCTTCGAGAAGCCAGTGAATCGGTGTGTGCCCATTCCTGAGTGAATAAATACCCGATCTGCAGCGACACAGAATGGCAGGTGGCGAGGCACTGATGAACTTCGGTTCGATGAAGTGTTTATGACCCATCTGGTAGACCCCAGTTGTGGACCAGCTGCGTCAGGTGTGTCTGTGAGCATGTTTGTGTTTCCGGTCCTAGCTGGTGGTCAGGGTTATGATTGGCTGAATGAAGGTAAGCGAACCCAAAACTGTGCCTTATCAACTGACCCCCCCCGGACTCTGTCGTCGCCCCTCTCCTATCATAGCTTGGCCGACTTCGGCCTGGTAGGTGGTTGCCTGTTTGGGCAGAGACGGAGACTGACAGGTGGTGAGGCGCTAATGAACTTCGGTCCGATGAAGCGCTTACGACCCATTTGGCGGATTCCAGTGGTGGATCAACTGTGCTAGGTGTCTGTGAGCATGCTAGTGATTCCGGTCCCAGCTGGTGGTCAGGGTTATGATTGTTTGAATGAAGGTAAACAAGCCTAAAACATTGCTGTATCAATCTACCGCCAGACTCCCTTCCTTCGTGCAATCTGCAATATGAACGTCGTATTTCTCTTAAAAGAACTGTCATGTTGGTAAGATTCAAATATCCTCACCGTCATAGGCATACTTGCAGTCCTAACCATTGTTTCGTGATACAACGGATTACTTATAAACATAATACCCGACGGCCTCCGATGAATTCTAATTCGGGGCAGTTGATCAAAAGTGGGCTTAACCTGCATCGTGCTGCATATTGGTGTTTAATCGCAGCTCTGACGCGCCGTGGGTAACCCTCCAGAATCTGCTATGTCCTCGAACATATGGCTGCGCTGCCTTTACAGGTCATGGGTGTAATTAATAGACGCAGTTGGTAAGTATAGTCGTGAAATGTTTGTAAACTGGAAAAAATAGTTAGAGTACAGCTGCCAAAACTCCAATTTAGTAACAAGTGAAAGTTAGTTAAATGCACACACAAGAGTATTGAAATTAATAAACAGGGTTAGGCGAAAGTAGCCGGGCAGTCGACTCAGGCTGGAGCTTAAATTCACTAGCAACTATTCAGAATATTGTCCAATCGATTGCTTGATGGGCGATCATTGATAGCCGAAGAAGTTAATGTGAACAAATCTTATTATTGTAAGTTTGGCTGACTTCCTCATTAGAAGTTTGCAGTTATGGACTACTGCTTTGGATAAAAAGTCGTAATCCAGCAACAGCGAAGATAAATAGTTAACGGCTGACAACTGAAGAACGTATCTTCATCGTAAATCGTTCCCCCAAACAGGCAACAAGAGTGGAATATACCACCAATTTCAAAAAAAATTGGTCAAACTTTAAAAAAGACGCAACGACCAGTCGTATTCACCACTCTGAGTCGGCGTAATCGTCCAAAGATCTTCCAAGACCTGTAGAACCACAGTATGTTTGTGACTTTTCAAACAAGTGGATTGTCTAAGCTGCTTTTGCTCTAAGTCCGCGATAATACCCAAGACGGGTATTACAGGAACTTGACACCACCCAGAGATCAGTTGCAAAAACGTCGCTACTGCTGCTGCTGCTGCTGCTGCTGCTGCTGCTGAATTGTGTGCTTCTCAGTTATTCGTAGAACTTCTAAATGCACTGAATAACACGCTCGCCTTAGCGGAAGTGGTTCGCCCTTGTTGCTTGTTTTTGTGAGGCTTTCTGGGTCTTCACAGTGTAGAATAGCGTCGCCAATACTATAGTCCAGCGCATTTTTCGTCTGCTGTTAAAAGCCAGGCCCCAGGGACCTCAAACGAACAATCAAGGTCTACTAAAAGCCTCGTCGACTAGGGTATCAGGGATGCGATTTCGTCGTCGGAGTATGTTGACAGAAAACCCTCAAGTTTCAATTCCTACGTTCCCCTGTGTCTCTTCGTCTGTTCCCATGTTTTCCATGGAAGTATTTCTAAAATACGTATGCATTAAACTAGAACAAATAATTAGTTTTCGAATGTTTCATACTTTATGCATGCGTCTTCAACACCACCGCTAGAATTTTGCTATAATTCCTTTGCTGATAGGAGTCAGAGGCGCGATTTCGAGAATCAATTAATAGCCAATTACAGGGGGCATAGATTTCTGTTGATTTGTCGTCAGAGGACTTGAAGGATTTGATCTCCTTCTGATGTCGTTTTGTCAGCTGCCATTTCGAAACCATGCAAACGACTCTTGTTTGACATCGCTCCCTGTCACGACGTTGTATGGCTTTTCCAGCCAAAGGGGCCGCTCATTTTGTTCTTGACAGAGAACATTTTAATTGCACAAAAGTAACTTTGAGAAATCGCCTTTTATTTCGACGGTGCCACAACTGCCGCAGTATGGTCTCCTTTCTTTCCTTTAGTAGCTCCGAGAACTGACATTATTTTCGGTTACTTTTTTGGTTACATGGCGCACCACTCCCCCATCCCGCCACCGCTGCCGCTGCCGTCGCTACTGGCGTCCTGGCCAAGACATCCACAGGTCGTGGGCAAAGCACCCTCACCCTGCCAATGCTCTCCCCCCCCCCCCGCTCACCACCCTAGAATCAGGCCCGGAAGAACGAATGTAGCAAAAGGGTGGCCCAAAAAGTGCAAATCTTCTGAACAGAACAAACCAAAAATGTTGCCTAACTGTTCTAAATCGTGTGATATAAGAGAGAAAGAAAGTTGCTAGCACACCGATCGCCCGATCTCCCCCAAGAGCTAAGTGTCATTTACTTTCCATGCGGCAAACGGTTAGAGTTTTAGTGACTTTTTTCAGCAGCTGTTATGCGTTTTCTCGTGCCCGCTCCTCTGTTAGTCGAACATTTTGACGAAGGTTATTTCAGCGTTTAGTGCTGCTACTAGGCAGTTTTTTAAACGTTACTGTATAGCCTTAAGTCGGTAATCGTCGAAATTACCGGCGATCTGACAGAACTCAAGAAATCCCAATTAACTGGGGAAGGTTAGTCAGAAAATTTTGCAATGCCTCTAGACACGGGATAGAAACACAAGATACTTACTACAGTGTGGCATGCGATTTTGCCGTTTAAAAAATTCCCAGTCATAAAAATGAACATTCATCTGGTGTTTCCACCAACATACCTATTTTTATTATCTCACTTGTAGGTTATTTTGGGATATTAGGTCTCACTTTAGTCTATGTTTTGCATATGTGAAGGCCATAGACTTGCGGAGACTACCAAGAAAGCAGAGCCCAACAAATGCATAATTTTTTAACTTTCGAATATCCTTGGAGAGCGAGAAGACAACAAAATCGGTTAAACTAAATGATAAGCTAATTGGTTAGCAACCTTAAAATATGCAAAAACTCAAGTTTCACTGTCTGTTGCTGAACTCGTCAAGCTTGAACTAATTACCTAAAAAGGACTTCTGTCAAAGGCAGGAGACAGTGGGTATTGAGGAATTAAGAGCGAGTACGATGCACCCAAGAAACTCACGGCCGACAACGACGTCGTTATCGTGCCTGCGGATAGCGGGCTTTCCACGGTTGTATTGGACAGGACAGATAACAACCAGAAAGCCAAAAGTTTGCTGGAGGATCGTTAGTCCTATGTCCCATGCAAATCTAACCCCACAAAAACGCTGACACGCGAGATGAACGTGACATTGTGGGCAATGGAGAACTCAGGTGCAATATCGCCAAAAGACCGACGCATGACGAGAGCGCAAGAAAAGGCCCTAGCCCGATTCTTCGGTCTCCCAAAAGTACACAAAGAGGGCGCTCCTTTCCGGCCTATTGTATTAATAAAGCGCACTCCAACCTACGGGCTGTCAGAGTGGCTGTTTCGACGTCTCAAGATTCTGACCATCGACTCAAACCCCACTGTCAGCCCGTCAACGTAATTTTTGGAGAAACTTAAAGGAGTAAGTCACCTGCCAAGCGATGTCATGGTTTCCTTTGATGTCATGTCCCCTTTTACTTCTATACCGCAGGACCTGGCAGTCGAGACCATCGAACTACTCCTACGAGAGAAATACGACGAAACGGAGAATCGCCTCGGATACGTCCAAATCATCCAACTCCTGCAGTTCTATCTCACGGCCTACTTTGCGTTCGGCGGAACAATCTACGAGCAGGTGAATAGAACGCAAGTGGGTTCGCCGATTTTGGGACTCATAGCCGAGGCGGTCCTAAAACGGCTGGATTCGCTGGTCCTCCGACACCCCAGACCGAAATTCTCGGCTTTGTATGTAAATGATACCTTTGTCTTCATCGAACGAGATCAGGTGCTGACATTCAAAGAAGATCTCAACGCCATCTTCCCGGACATCCAATTTACGATTGAGGAGTAAGAAAACAACCAGCTGGCCTTCCTGTATGTCCTCGTCTGCCTCAAAGATTGTGGTGGCCTAAAAGTGTTCAGGAAAGCGACAAATACGACGCAAATACTGAACTTCAATAGCAACCACCCGATCAGTTACAAGCGCAGTTGGGTAGGGGCACTATAACGGCGCGTTCAGCCGCACTGCAGTAAAATGGAAGGCAAGGTTACTGAACTACAATACCTTTGCCGATTATTGAGATCCAATAGATACCCACAAAACTTTGCCAGCCAGTGCCTACGAAAACGACACCAGAGACCAAACCTAACAGGCCCAAATTTAGGCGGGCTCTTCCGTACGTGAAGTACGTCTCGGAAGCCGTCAGCCGTCTTCTCACTCCGCTTGGAGTTGGGGTTGCACGCATGCCGGAAGCAAACATTAGGCGTCAAGTCATTAGGCCAAAAGACCCGCTGCCACGGCAGGAAACGTCTGGAGTCGTTTACCGGAGCTGGTGTAGTTACGGACAAAGCAATTTTGTTGGAGAAACTGGGAGATTACTCCGTAAGCGAATCGCCGAGCACGCAGCAACAGTGAGGCGGGGAGACGCTAGCTCTCAGATGGCGGCACACGCGACAGGACCCGGCCATACTTTCAAATTTCAAGAGGCCGAAATCATCGCAAGAGGTGACAACCGCGTGAGCCGACAGCTGCTCGAGTCATGGTTCTCAGGCCTGCAGTTCAACAAGTGCAATGACCTCCTGTTATCGTATTCCATGCTGAGAACTTCCCTGGGCAGGGGAGTCACGTGGGGAAAGCGCGGGCGAGCAATTATCCCAGTGACAGTGAGCCAATTTGCCGAGCAATCGTCACACCAGCATCCAGCACGGATGGCGAAATAACGGCAATAAACGACTCGGACACGGACTGACAAGCCAGCACCGCATCAATTACGACCGCAACGGTGATTGCGAGAGCTGTTAATTGCATCTACGTGCTATAAATACTGCACTCATTGTGCCACCACTGCCTTTATCTGCGACTGTCTCTGATGATGGGTTCGAGTGAGAATGCGAAACATCAGGCCAATAAATTTCGTTTTCCAGTGGTCGCTTCTTTGTCTTTTCAACTGCTTCCTCGAACTCACCTGTTCGTTTCTATCATCAATTGCTGAGTTAGGCCAACGTTTCACTTTGGCAGGTGAATTTCCTCTGATAAGTAAGGATGGATCAATAGCGCACCAAAGCATGAGCGAAAACAGCTGATCAGCCATCCACCTCGTGGGCCAAAACTAAGAGAAACCAAAATAAGAGGAGGCGTTCACCAGGGAGGAGGGTGTAATGGAGGTTTGACGTTTCGAGTAATTGCTTCGTCTACCCATCTTCAGGGACTGGTAAGTCATGCGCACAACTCTCCTTATATGGCGCACTTTTTGATACGCGGCCCTCCAATACCACCTGTATGGTTGCATCCGACCTGCATGTCACCATGACCTGAATCTGGCCCCTCTTCGTCAGCCGCAGAGATAGCCGACGGCCCCGACTGTCCCCCGTTAAAAAGGCTCATAAAGTCAGATAGGGAGGAGGCCCTCAAATCGCGAGCGTGCCAGCATGCGGCGCTGAGGTCCACTTGCCCGATCTTTGCTGATAAATAGGAAATAGTATCTCGCCTCTTCATCAATATCTTTAGCTCATACTCACGCAAAGTCGCTCTTTGATCGCGTTGATACTACCTGGAACATAGAAATCAGGTCAGAGCTGCGGTTTTTTTATCATGCAACTAGGATTGGTCGGTGAACGATACTCTCATGCGGAAAACACTTGGAAGGAGAGTTAACCAATTTGGTTGCGGGACAGGACTGGTCTACTGGTCCTGGCACACAATTTAGGAGCTTCGCAGGCGATCGACTGGCGACCAATACTGAAATGAGAAGGATAATTGACAAAGGCAAGGTTGGCCTTAGAAATGGAAGCAATTTATGTCACTTGCACTTAGGAAAATCATGATTAAAGAACTGACGTAACTTCACTTCATTTTTACTTAAGGCTAATTTAACACGGGCAAAAATGCTTCCATATTGAGCGCATGATATACGGCATAAGGAATTACTGTGGGCCTCTGCGGAACATTTTTTTCATACCTGTTTGAGTAGAGAATTATCCACATAGGGCGAGAACTATAATCTGTTAACTTGAACTGCCCGTAAACGTACGGTAGATGTACTAACTCATGAAATGTTAACCGAAAGTCAGAAATGCGTTTCGGCTACAAATGCTTGCTTAAGTAGGGTTGTAATATTTCTCAAATTGCAGCATATTCCCACGGTAATTCTGTTACTTCGGAATATCGGCTCTTGAATGAACTACTTTTGGCCGCCTGCAAAAACTACAGTTTGCAAATAACAAATGTCTAAATGGTGCGACGTTTTCACACTGTTTTTGGATCTACATCAGATTTTATACTTGAAACAAGGGAACAATTCAGTTTAAGAGAATGTTTCTAATTACCGAATAATTGTGAACACGACTTGTTCTTGCATTCGAATTCAGGCTGTCCAACTTACAACCCGCATATTGTCTGTTCACGGAAAATCATGATTTCCCTATTGTATTAAGATAAGGTCATGTGGGGTTCCTAAGATTTAACAGTGAATTTAATTCATATTCAAAACTTTAAAAGCAACATTATTGAATGCAGCATCACAATGTTTTATGAGCGTGCATTTAGCGGTTTTAAATATCCCATAATTTAAAACATTTTTTAAAAATCAAGTCATACTAATCCGTCAAGTATAAAATTTGGAAAAGATCTAATTTTCTACAAAACGAATATAAGACTTAATATTTCTATTCATGATTTCTATGAAATATATTTAAATTTATAAGAGCATCGAAAATCAATGTGAAAAATTCATGCTACTTACGTGGCCATTTTTGGGAAGTGCAGTGTATCTGGCGGACAGAAAGTAGTTCGCCCACAAGCCGGCATTCTGACAGAGTGAAATATCTTGGCAGTATGCTTCATGGGATTTAATATAATAACGCTACTTCAGCAGTCTTTTCGAGTCGAGAACACATTTCAGAATTTTAGTTAACACTTCACAACTAAGCTCATGCGTGTTTAACCGCTAAATGATAACTGCGCAAACAGCGAGATCTATGCATTTGTGAATTAGCAGAGGTCCCCTGTCCACTTACCTTACCTCTTCGTCAACTCCCTTTTCATCGTGACAATCATTGCCGTTCTCTTTCTTCCGATTACCTGAAATTATTCATTATGCTGATAAACTTGACTGGATGAGAGGAAGGCCGCAAAGATTTGTGCGTCTCAAAAATTTGGAATGGAAACTCTGACATCCACTCTGTTCAGCCCAGGATCAAAGGTCTTCTTTATGGCTAGCTTAATGGCTCTCCCGACTCAATGGGTCATAAATTCCGACGCCTCATGTTAGTGGTCCAGCCGTCTCTGACTGTCTTCTCGAGGTGAATAAGTGCGCTTTAAATGTTTACCTTCGTCTCTGGAGTGAAAATGGGATTTTACTATTATACCGGGCAGGTTTTAATATGAAAACGTCAATAAAGTGGAGATTTAGTCTTTCAAGATGTCCTTCGACCACCTATAATCCCGCAAAATGCATAAAAGCACGCATAACGCCGAATGACCAGGGAGCTGCTAGGAATGAGTCGGTGCATAATAATAATAAAAGACATACAGCCAAAATGAGACAGAAGAAGGATTAAAAGTAAAGCAAGAGGTGTAGTAAGAAGTATGAGCGTCTGCTATGCCAGAAGCAGCCAACAATGGCCCTCACGGTTTGGTGTGCGCTGACAGCACTTTTAACACCTTTTTCCCTGCCTGTGGATGTGCTGGCTTTTTCACTGCCTATACAGGTCGTGTTCACCTTTGTCCAGTGACGTTCAGTGACGTCTCCTTCTCCTTGTTCGTTTTTTGTGGACCAGGGCATGTGGTGGTACGCCTAGGTGCAGGTTTAAACCGCGTCATGACCGATCTCATGAAATGTTGGCCGAAATTCTGAAAAGCGTCTTCGATTAAGAAGGATTACTGAGGTGTATTTGTAATACTGATTATCATGCGACATGATCCTATAATATTTCGAACTAGGTAAGATACTGACTTTCGAATGCACTTCTTGTCGGCCTCCTGTACAAACAGTACTCGGTAAAGAATGACTACATAAGTAGCATGCATTATTCACATTGATTTTATATACTCTTATAAATTGAAATATGTTTTATAAAAAAAGAATTACAAAATGCTTTCATTTACTCATTCGATAGAGAGCACGTCGTCTGTATATTGTAACTTGAAGAAGGAGTTTAATTAAGTTTTAAAAATATATGTGAAAAATGCATGCTAATTATGTAGTCATTCTTTACCGAGTAGAGTTTGTACAGGAGGCCAAAAAGAAGTGCATTCAATAGTCAAGATCCTACCGTGTTCGAACTATTACAGGATTATGCCGCAAGATAATCAGTATTACAAATCCACCTCAGTAATCCTTCTTAATCGAAAACGCATTTCAGAATCTTGGCCAGCATTTCGTGAGGTAGGTCACGCACTGTACGCCCTCTCCCACTCCGGTCTTCTTGACTCTGTCTTGACGCCGGGCCCAGGTAGGGGAGTTAGAGAGAGTGCAGTATATGCTTTGCAAACATACTAACACTATTAAGTGATTCACACACAAGTCGCCGCGCCTGCTGCCACCTAGTTCTAGAGAACGCGGTCGACATTGTCTGTCATTGTTAAGGAAATTAATTGGAATTAATGATATTCGTAGATATTGAGCCCAAACCGTTGGGGCGAATTCAAATTTTGAGCACCCTGAAGCTTTCTCCCGACCAACGAAACGACATCTACACTGTGTGCGGTGAGACATATATGCTCAAATCTCAGACCGCGTTTAAGAATATTGTCTGGTAAGATGGTGAGATCAGTCGCGGTCCATTCCCGTTTCCGTTGAAGCACATTATGACTGTATGCTATGCCTTATGAAGGTAAACTGCATTCGCTTG